AACAAAAGAAACCAGAAAAAAACCTTAAATTCATGGAAGTTAAACGCCACCATACTCAGCAACGGATGGGTCATAGATAAAATGAAATAAGAAATTCAACAGTATCTACATCTCAATGAAAATTCAAGCACAACTTATCGTAATTTATGGGATACGATGAAAGCAGTTCTCAGAAGGAAATTCATACCTGTGAATTCACACATTAGGAAACAGAACGGGAACTGGGAATTTTCCCGGAGGATCTGTAAACATCATATCAAAGGGATGTATGTGTCCCTATGTTTATAGCAGCACAATTTGTGATAGCCAAATCTTGGAAACAACCAAGATGCCCATCACCTGAGGAATGGTTGAAAAAGATGTGGTATTTTTACACAATGGAGTATTACTCAGCTGTTAACAATGATAAACTCGAAGTCTTTATATTGAAGTGGATGCCACTTGATCATATACTCATAAGTGAAATAAACCAGACACACATGTGTAAATATTGTATAGTCTCCCTTGTATAAGAACTCAAAAGCAGAAATACAAATAGAAAGACATAATACAAGTAAAAGGGAAGCAGGATCTCAAGGACTTAACTAATCAAGAGAGGGAAAGGAGAAGAGATAGGAAACATGACAATGTCAAGCGATACAGTTATATGTACAAGATGAGCAAGGCAATGATCCTGAGATTCTTCAGAAGATTTTTTAATCTAGCAGTTATCTGGACAGATTCTCACCCTGACTAACTATATATATTGATACCTGTGAACTAAGCTACTGCACTGCAGATGGTAATCTCTAATAGTAGTTTCATGCTTGGAGTGCCTGTCATTCTAGTCTTCTACATATGGTCTGCTTGTCATGACATGACAGTTGCTGCTATGATGTCTCTCAGGTAGATGGTAGATCAAAAAGAAGGGGGTGGTGAATGAAAGCAAGAGAGAGGAAAAGGAATATTATGGGACTGTCCTGCTTCAAGGTGGTATATGGTGAGATTTTTGGACTTACGTGCAAACATGAGAGGTATATAATACTTTATGCCTATTTTTAAAATATATTCTAATTTTTAAATGTTTTTTATCATATTTTGTAGGGACTTAAAGTTCCACATATTAATACCTGATGAAAAATACCTGTTCCATATTATGCCTAAGATGTTTGATATGCAGGCAGATAGTCAGGGTAAGCTTAACAGTCTAAGTTGTATGGTAATAACAATAAGCTTGTCTTCTGGATGGTTAACAACCTAAGTTTGCAGACCAAAATTAGAGAAAAAGG